CTCTGACACCTGGTGAGTCTGTCCCTCCCCTGTCTTCCATGCCCTTTTGGACTATCACAGGAGCCAGAGGACAGACTTTGTGTTTGGTGTATGGAAAGCTTGGGGATGTGGGCCTCAAATGCGGCCTCCTGGAGCCCAGACGTGGCTCAGTCCTCCTCTTTGGTTTCAGTGTTCCAGAATGAAGTGGCGGGAACGCTGCAGCGAGGCCAAGAGGAGAATATCTCCTGTGACAACCTGGTCCTAGAAATCAACTCCCTGAAGTAAGAAGAGGGCAGGGGCCACAAGAGGACTTGGGGCTCGGGAGGAGGTGTGGCTCGAGCAGGCTGAGTCACTGATGGAACATGTGGCGGGGAGGCCCAGTGGCAAGAGCCAGCCTGGCAGTCAACACCCCTGGCCATGGAACCTTGGGCAGCAAGGAAGGGAGTGTCCTCCCCTGGAGTGAAGCCCTAGGCCTCATTTTCTAGGTTGGGGTGAAATTGGTGGGATATGCAGAAGCCACGCTGGTGTCGTCAGTCCCAGGCAGCCTGAGGATGTGCCCCTCCCCAGCAAGGCATTGCAGTGGTTTAGTTCGACGAGTCTTTATTTTTATTATTTTAGTTTTTTAATTTTTTTATTTTGGTGAGGCAGTTGAGGTTAAGTGACTTGCCCAGAGTCACACAGCTAGTGAGTGTTATGTGTCTGAGGCTGGATTTGAACTCAGGTCCTCCTGCTTCCAGGGCTCATGCTCTGTCCACTGTGCCACCTAGCTGCCCCCTAGACAAGTCTTTATTAAGCCTCTACTGGGATATGAAACCCAACCTGAAAAGTGCCCCTCGAGGGCTCTAGGAGAATCCTTCTAGGGGGAGAACATGGAAGCAGAGGGGACATGAGGTTGTTTGAGGAGGCTTAGGGTTGGCCAAGCTCTAGCTGTGAGGGGGCCCGGAGGCAGAGGGCAGGCCCAAGGGACAACAGCCTGGGCTGCCAAGTGGTGCTCCCCCCCAGAACGCACACAGGGAGGTCATGTGGGAGTTGTGGGAAGGCAGCCAGGAGCAGCCCCACCCCAGAGAACAGAGTCTCCTCTGAAACATCTCCTGTCCCTTCAGTATCCTGGGTCAGAGGGCCAGAGAACCATTGGACCCAGGCGGGGAAAGAGGGCGCTTGGTGGGCAGAGGAGGCAGCTCTGCTCGACCTCCCAGGGTCTTGTGCTTCCTAGGCCTCACCTGCCCTGAGGCCCTGTCATTTCGGGGGGGGGGGGTGTCTGACAGAGCCCTGCTTGCTCTCCCCCTGGCAGGTATGCTTACAACATCAGCCTCAAGGAGGTGATGCAGGTGCTCAGCCAAGTTGTCCTGGAGTTCCCCCTGGAGCAGCTCAACTCCCAGCTGGACCCCAACTGCTACTGTGGCCTCCTGCTACCTGTGAGCAGAGCCCCTTCTCCTAGCCTGCCCTCACCTCCCAAGGCTTATCTGTGTGGCCTCACAGGTGATGGGTTCTCTAGGCTGAGCCAGAGATACACAGAAGAGGAGTGTCTGATTGGGAAGAGGCAGGAAGTCCTTAGCAGCCTAGGCTATGGATGGTGGGAGGGCAAAAGTAGTGGAGTCCTCAGGGGGTGAATAGCTCAGAGGGGGCCAACAGAACCTCCAGAATGAAGAGGAGGGAGCTGGAAGGGATCCCCATTCAGTAGGATTCCCCAAGGCCAGCCAGTGTACAGATCCCGGGCAGGAGAAAGCCACTGGGCTCCGGGGCTGGGCTGAGCCTCCCCCCATGATGCACCTTCCTCCCTAGCTGCTGCGGGCCTGGAGCCCCGTGTTCAAGAACTACATCAAGCGCACAGGAGACCACCTGCAGGCCCTGACAGCTATTGAGGAGTTCTTCCTGGAGCACGACAGCCTGGTCACCTCCCTAGCCAAGGTGCTTTGGAGCCCTGGGCAGGGCGGGGCAGGGCCCACCCTGAGGGAAGGAGGCCTTGGGGCCCAGAGAAACCAGAGCGCGGTGGTGTGGAAGCCACTGTTGTGTGGGAGACACACGCACGCACCCCCACATACACATGCATTCTGCAGCAGGGAATATTGTTAGGTCCTAACGAAGGCCCGGCCCCTGCTTTCTTCCCTCAACTACATAGCTGCTTCTGTGCCAGCTGGAGGTCTTCCTACCACTGTCCACTTAGAAGACCACAGGTGGGACAGTGGGAAGGGCCCAGCAGAAATGCCAGGTGCTGCTGTAGCTGGAACATGAGGACAGATGAAAATGGTCCCAAAGCTTCCGCCCGAGTGGGGAAGACAACATGCACACCTACAGATATGATACCTAGGACGCACAGAGAGTAGATGGAAGGTCCTTTCGAAGGGACAGGCACTAGCAGCTTCAGGCCTCCCGCCTTGGGAGGATGTCTGAACCGGGTCTTGAGGACTGCATTTGGAAGAGGTGGAGGTGGGTGGAAGCGGCCTGCAGATGGGGGACTGTGGAGGAAGGCTGGAAAGGTGGCCTGGGACCAAACACAAGCCTCCATGTGAGCCAGGGTGAGGCTGGGGCCACTGAGCTTGCTACAATCCTGCGGCCCTACACAGGTGCTGATGACGTTCTATGAGCTGGACATCTTGGCTGAGGAGACCATTCTGCAATGGTTCCATCAGAAGGATGTGCCTGACAAGGGCAAACAACTCCGAAAGAATCAGCGGGTGAGTTGGGCCCCAGTGGGGAGCCAGGCCAAGGCTCAAGGGGAATCATCGGGATTGGGGCCAATGAGAATGTTGTACCCTGCCCTCCAGAAGCCCTTTGCTCTGCTTTCCAGTTACAGAATTTCATCCAGTGGCTCAAGGAGGCAGAAGAGGAATCGTCAGACGAACAAGACTGAGGCTCGGCTGGGGCTGCCTCATGCATGTGGCCTCCCCTGTTGATCCCTGGGAAGGGGCATGTGTGGATGAGGAAGCCCAGCCAGGAGCTGCTACCCCGTGGGCTGGAACTCGGGGCACTTCCCCCCAATGCGAAGCCTCAGGATCCCCACCAGCAATGGGGTCTGGGGTGTGGGGAAGAGGCGACAGCCTGCGAGGAAGAAACATCTGTCCAGGGACAAGAGTCCCCGAGTCCAGGGGTTGGCTCTGTGTCAGAGAATCTCATCCCCAGGAGGGCGTTTTTCTAAAGACCACAGGCTCACCTTTGCTCGCCTGACCTCTCTTGGGGGATGGCATTGAGTGACTGGGGGCCCTCTGCTGCTTATATTGACAATTTGAAAAAAAGTGTGTTTTGTTTCTGCCCTGCTCTGCCTCACCTGGCTCTTAAGGTGTGGGGTATGGAGACAGCCCCCTTGGGTCCAGAACCACCAGGTAGAGCTAAGGGGGCATGATGGGGCTGGCTGTGGGCCTGAGGAGAAGCCTCCAGCCCCAGAGCTGTGGGGCTCAAAGCTCGGGCAGAGCCAGACAGAGGAAGTGGAACGTGTGGCTCTCTTGCCAGGCGGTCCCGTGTGAGACACCTTGTACTACCCTCAGTTGGCACAGCCTGCTGGGCGTCCTGGAGCAGAGCCTCCAGGCAAGAGGGTGGTGGGTTAGCTTGCCTCCTGCAGCAGCCAGCTGTGGGGTTCTGAGGAGCAGCCCCTCCTTCCTCCCAACCAGGAAACAAATAAATTGGTTGTTCCATCCTTTCTAAGCCCCTCTGCTTCCGGCAGCCCCCATGAGGAGCACAAAGGAAAAATAAGCCTCCTGAAGGCTGGGAGGGAGGGAGAAAAGGGGAACACAAATGACCGGCTATACAACAGCAAATAAATGGCAGAGGAAGGGTATTGAGAGTGTTAAAGGCATTCAGAAGGAGGGCAGGCTTCCAGCTGAGGAAGCCTCCAAGTGTGGGGGAGGGGACAGCAGGAACACAAGGACTGAGCCAGCAAAGGGCAAGATGTGTTTGGACAAGTGAGTGGCCTGCTCCAAGGAGCAGAGGAAAATGTGCAGAAAGGCTTGGAATCATGTTTGCCTTCATAGAGTCTTCAAGGAAATTCCCTGAGACAGAAGATGGTACCACATACCTAAGGCAAGCAGCTGGGACGTGCTTTGTCCAACTGTTAAGGCTTTAAGAAGGAATTCTAACATTTGGTGCAAAGGGCTGGAGGAGATGGAGAAGTTAGCTATGGCCTGATTCATGCCAAATATTGCATTGGAGACCTGACTGCCTGCCATTCATCAGATGGCCATTGGTACTTTTTCTGAGTATCAGTTTTCTCATCTGTAAGATGGGGATTTGTATCTTCAGAGTGGAGGACCAGGCTTAGGTATATTGATTATAGGAAACCAATAAGCCAAGTCTTCACCTGCAGATAGATCTCCCTTAGCCAGAGTTACCACCCCCCCCCAGTAGAGAGCTAAACCGTAGCGCTACTGGCCAATGACCAGGTTGCTCTGACCTTCCACTGGGAAATCCCCATCTCTAATTCAAGGTTGGGGCAGCTCTTGGCTTTGCAATCGCAGGGAGTTCCGATCCCAGCTCAGTAGCTTTGATTTGGGGCCAGTTACTTCCCAGCTTTGGGCGTCAGTTGGGGGCTAGAATCGTGGTCCAAGAGCCCATCATCTAAATCCAGTGGGCAGGTCACCCAGTCGGTTAGAGTTCCTTCTTGCCTTAGGTATGCGGTTCGGCTTCTAACACCACCCCTAGGTTCTCCCCTACCCTCTAGGCCACCCCAAAGCCCCCGTGGGGCTGGAAAGCCTCCAATCAGCTCACAAAGGATCGGAGAGCTGCCAGAGACCTTTGAGATCTTCTGGTACAACCCCCTCACTTTTACAGAGGAAACCGAGGTTTCGGTGTCAGGGTGAGGCGCCAGCTCCGGGGTGCAGAGGAGGGACAGTGACCGGAGAATCCCGGGGCGGGGCTGCTGGGGAGGAGCGGGCTGCCGGAAGAGTCACCGTCGCCTCCAAAGCCAGGGAAATTGGGAGAGCGGAAGCTGTGGCGGGCAGCTGCAGAAGGGGGAGGCGGGGAGGCGGGGAGACGGACGGGCGGCGCTGGGACCCGGGGGCGGCCGGAGAACAAGGGAGCCGCGGCCGCCGTGGTCCGGAGAGCGAGCCGCCGAGCGCATCGCATCGCATCGCATCGGAGCCTAGCGCTCCGGCCGGGTCCGAGGCCAGGGCGCCTGGGCGCAGGGGGCAGCGGACAGCGGAGGGGGCGCGGAGCGCGCGGCGGCGGGCCGGGACCATGGGGGAGACCAAGATCATCTACCACCTGGACGGCCAGGAGACGCCGTACCTGGTGAAGCTGCCCCTGCCCGCCGAGCGCGTCACCCTGGCCGACTTCAAGGCCGTCCTGCAGCGGCCCACCTACAAGTTCTTCTTCAAGTCTATGGACGACGACTTCGGGTGAGCGCGGGCTTTGAGGACCCACCCGGCGGGCGCCGAGCGGGGGCCCCGGAGCAGGACAGCGTCGAGGGGCCTCCGCCCAGGCCTGGGGTGCTCCATCCGTCCGCCCGGCTGGGCCCGGGGCACCCGTGGCAGCTGGCTGCCCAGTGCAAAGCTTTTGGCCGGTGGGCGGTGCCGCCGCCTCCCCCCCCCACCAAAGTGGCGGCTCATTCGGGGTCCCGGCTCAGAAAAGCAATTGCTCCGCCGGTCTCCGGGGGCTCCTTCTCTCCGTGTTGTTCTGACCCTGAAGGGGCGAGGGTCCCCAGCCAGGAGGTATCCCTTTTACCAAGGCGGCCCTGCTGACTGGGACTCTCCCCCTTCCCCTTCGGGGCCTACACTCTTGCTCTAAGCCAGCTCCAGTGCCCAGCATGGGGGGAATTTAGAAGAGAGACTTCCCCTTTAAGAGGGGATGGAATGTTGGAGCGAATGTTGCTGCAGCCGGAAGGTTTTGTAGCAGCTGGCCTGGAGAGGCCCCCCTTTCCCTCCTCCCCCTCCCCCAACTCAGCTCCCCTGGGAATGGGGGAGGGGCTCCCCCTCAATCTGGCAGAAGAAGGGACTGGGGGCTAGGCTAAGAGGCCCAGTGGGGGGTGGCCACAGCCCAGCCTCCCGGGCCTGACGGGCTGCCTCCTCTGAAACCCCCATCCCCAGCTCTGGTTCTCTCTTTCTCTTTCTCCCCGTCCTGGGTCCTGTTTTGTGGAAGGGAAAACCTCGAATTGTGGGGAGGGGGTCATTCATCGTCAAGCCAGCTTCTTCTTCCGGGTTGGCCCATCCCTTCGAACAGAGAGAATCATTTGAGATAATAATGTATGTAAAGCGCTTGGAACGATCTGCAGATGTCAGTTCGCCTTGTTACTGTCCTGCCCTGGCCTGGGAGGTCTCCATTTCTTAACCCTCCAGTTCTCTTGGCCCAGGCACAGGGAGGAGCAGGGTTCCTGGGAGAAGCCAGTAGGGTCAGGACCTTCAGTCGGGTTTGACGAATTTGGTCACATAGATGGTGAATTCACCAAACGTTTATTAGGTGCCTACTGTGTTCCTGACACTAGGAATACAAAGTTAAAAAGGAGCCAGCCCCCTGGCTTTCAAGGAGCTTCTGCTCTGTAGAACGGCAGACGGTAAATGGTAAAGACACAAATACCTGCAGTCATTTGAGGAGAAACTGGGGAAGGTCTCCAGCAGGTTAGACGGGACCCAGTGGGCTGAATTTATGGGAAAAGCATGAATGGGTTGAGATTTGCATTAGTGGAGGAGCCAGCTTCATCAGTCAGTTCATGGATGTGTTGGAGTGTTGTTGAGGAGGGAGAGATTCAGGAAGGCTTTGCTGGAAGGGCTTGCTCTTGAAAGAAAAGTGTTTTAAAAGAATAGTGGAGGGAGGAGGGCATCTCTGGCATGGGGATCACCTGGATAAATGTCCAGAGTCAGGAAATGGATCTAGTAGGCCAGTTTGGTTGGTATGCAGTAGACAAGAAGTGGAGTAGTACTAAAAGCCAAGATGAGGAGTTTGTCTTTTATTCTAATGGCAACAGGAGGCTCCCGAAGGTTTGTGATCAGGGATGTGACATGATCAGATCTGTGTTTTGGGGAGCATTATTTTAGCACCAGGGCATGGAGGATGACTAGGAAAAGGGGAGAGACTTGAGAAAGGGAGGCCAAGGGGATGAGGGCCTTTTGAGTGGGATTTTTTTTAAAAAAGGACTGTTGGGAGGGATTTGGTGGTAGAATTGATTGGCTATGTCCTATGAGGAAGAGGAAAAATGGAGGCTGAGTATGGGCTAACCACCCAGGGGGCGTAGAAGGATGGCAGAACCCTCAACCAAAAGAGGAAAGTTTAGGGAAGGGGAAGGTTCACGGACAAAGATAAAGAGTGCTGCTTTGAAACACCAACTGGACTTCCAGGGTGAGATGTCCCCATTGTTGATGGACAAGATTTGGAGGAAAAAAGTTAAAGAGGAAAATGGGGGTGGATGGAAGACGGAGTGGTGGAAAGGGCAAAGTGGATGGAGTGAAAGAGTTATTGACGTGTTGCCTAGGGGAGCCAGCTAAGGGACTCCATGGCACTGGAGGAGACTTTGGGGGCGGTCCTGGGAATATGGGGCCGAGGTGGTCTGGGAGACCCCATCCTGATCAGAAAGACCCCATCTTGCCCACTCCCTCTCCATATCCCTAAAAGATTCTTTGAACACTGTCGGGCACCAGGAGTGTCTTGAAAGTAAGACCAAGGGGTCTTGCACACGTGCTAGAGAAGAGGAAGGTCCTAGGGGCTGGTGATGCTTTATTGGAAATTTTGGAGCTAAGATAGCAGACAGACTTAGGAAGAGGACAAAGGCAGAACGAACATTAAAGGAAATAATGATGGAGCAGGGGCTGGCAGCATGACAGGCAGTGGGGAGGTCTGTCATTGGTTCCTTTTTTAAAAAAAAATTTATTTGTTTATTTTTATGATGCATTTTTTTTTTAGGCAATTGGGGTTGACTTGCCCAGGGTCACACAGCTAGTAAGTGTCAAGTGTTTGGTCTGAGGCCAGATTTGAACTTAGAGTCTTCCTGACTCCAGTGCCTGTGCTTTATCCACTGTGCTACCTAGCTGCCCCCATTGGTTCCTTAGTGATGCACTCAAGACACTGGGGAGAAAGGAAAGGGGGGCAGATCAACAGCCTTTCATCTGAGGAGAGGGGCCATTCCCTGTGTCCAAGGGTTCCCAAGTCCTCCAACCTCCTTTCCTCCCTTGCCTTCCTTAAAGCTCCCAGCCTACTCATTTGTATCCGTGAGCATATCTCATCCGCCTACTAGGCTATCAACTCCTTGAGACAGGATGGTGGCATTTTATCCCCAAACTTAAAAAATATTTGCCAAATCTAACCGTGTTCCTGCCAGTCTAGAAGTCTCTTTACTAGTTGTATGGCTATGGACAAGTGCCAGAGTTAGGGTCGAGAGACCAGGTTCAGATTCTGCCTCTGACACTTTCTAACTGCGTGACCCTTCACCTCTGTTTGCCTCAGTTTCCTTACATGCAAATTAATTATTTTCATCTCTCATAATAATGAAAAGCAGCTTCTCTGTGGGATATGCAAGAGAAGGAGATTCACTCTATCCCTGTCTTTGAGAAAACCATAATCTAACTGGGGGAAAGGTTGAAAATGAAAATTCTGGGTGGCAATTCCAGTTCTATGATCACTGGAAGACTTAGATTCAGGTCCTGACTTTGTGACTCTGGGCAAGTCACTTGACCTCAGCGCCCCAGGCCATTCTCTAAACTTGTAAATAATAGAGCAGTTGGAGATCTGCTTTGGTAGAGGGAGTTCTTTCACCTGGGAGTTCCTAATAACAATGAAATCACCAGCTCCAGCAAAAATTTTAAAATGGCTACTGTTTGTTTAGTGCCTTATAGCTGATAAAGCCCTTTTGCTACCTAATATCATTTGGTTCTTGGAACAACCCCGGGAGGTCAGTACCACAGGCGTTTACCCCATTTCACGGATGAGGAAGCAGTTCTAGAGAGGTCACAGCTACGGAGTGTGTCAGAGGCAGAATCTGATTCCAAGTCCAGCCCTCTGCCCACTGTTCCACACTACCTCAAACAGAATCAGTAATCCCTCTCAACTTCCTCACAGGCTATAGCAAGCCGGCTAATGAAAATATGAAAAGCATTTGGAAAACCTTAAAGCACCATGTAAATGTGATTTTTGACTGGACCAGTGTAGATTTCGAGGAAATTCACTCCACTCATGAAGGTGTATGCATCTGCGAGTCTTAGTTTCTTGGGGCACTGGGAGGCTGTGACTTACCCAGGGGCCTCCAGCCAATATGACTCCAAGGCCAGCTGTCTATCAGCTCTGCCATACTGAGTGATGGTGACCGTGATGTCTCCCCTGTCAGAGTCTCCTCACACCCATTGTGCCCACACTGTTTGATATCCCCGTTCATTTGGTGTGGAGGGATGGCCTCTTGAGGGCAGGCCAAAGAAACTGGATTTGGCGAGAACAGCTGGTGGACATGATGGCAGACTGGGCTGAATGTCCAGAGGGATCTGAGAGATGAGACACAGAAAAGCATCTAAGAAAGCTGAACTTGAAAGCTCATATCCCCCACAGCTCTTCCAGCTCTTACTGCCATTCACGCTGGGCAAGTCCTCTTTGGTTCTCAAGCCTCAGTTTCCTTACCTGCACCATGAGAGGACTGGTCCCTGAAGACCCTCCAGAGCGAGATTGACTCTGTAGTTCTGTGGCCAGGAGCCTGACGTGGGCAGTGTGGGGAGAGGTGGAAATCTCAGCCAATGCTCTGGGAGGAGTTGGTGGGGTTTCGAAATGCTCGAAACAGGGCACATTTATTCAGCATCGGCCCACAGTGGGTGTTCGGTAAATATTTGTTGAGTGGATGGAATGGTCCTGTGCTAGGTATTACGGGGCACGCAGAGGAAGGAAGGAGACTCCCTCATTCCCTGCCTTTGAGAAACCCATAGTCTCACTGGGGAAACAAGAAGTGTCTATTTGAAAACCTGGGGCTGCTCCAGCTCTGTGGGGACAGATGCCACAGCAGTCCTAGAGTGTTAGAGCTGGAAGGGATCTCCGAGGCACTTGGGATTGAACCCCTCATTTTATAGTTAGTCAACAAGCATTTATTAAGAAGCACTTACTGTGTGCCCCATACTGTGCTAAGCATGGGAGATGCAAAAAAGAGGTAAAAGGCAGTCCCTGCCCTCAAGGAGCTCACTGCTAATGGAGGGGACAACATGCAAATGACTGTACAGGATAAATTGGAGATAACCAAGGGAAAGCATTTAGCTTAAGGGGGATCAGGAAAAGCTTCCTGTATAAGGTGGGATTTTATCGAGCACTTGAAGGAAGCCAGGAATGGGAGATGAAAAAGGAGAACATTCCAGGCATGGGGCACAGCCAGTGGAAATTCGTGGAGGCTGGAGATGGAGTATCTTGTTCGAGGAATAGCCAAGAAACCAGATTCACTGGATCTCAAAGCGTGTGGAAGGCAGACTGGAAAATAGGAAGGGGCCAGGTTACAAATGCCCTGAGGAGGAAACTGAGGCCCAGAGAAATGAGGGAATTCAAAGCCCTTCTCTTCAGAAAGGTGACCAGCTACCCTGAGAGACTCCTTGGCCCATCAGCTTCCACTGAGTCAATGATGATGCTATCAGCCAACATTCCTAAGTTGATTTAAGGTTTGCCAAGCGCTTGGCATCCGTGATTTCATTTGATCCCCACAATAGCCTTTTGAGGTTGGTGTTGGTGAGATTTCCAGGCTCAGAGGGTGGCCTGCCCAGGGTCTCATGGCTAGTAAGTGACTGAGGCAGGATTTGAACCCCAGTCTTCCTAACTCTACATCTCCACTATGCCAGTGAGCCCCAGGAAAATTGGAGCTGGGAGCTAGACAGAGAGTCCCAAAGGAGAGGGACTGTGTTAGCTTTCAGTCTCAGGAGCCCTCAGAAAGCACCAAGATGCTTGGGTCTGGCCCTTTGCTTCACTTTGCCTTCTTTTGGCCAGTGAGGCCAAAGGTCCCAATCTCCTTCCCTTCTCCAAGGGCCCTTCCCTAGCCATCACCCAGCCTATCTCTTCCAGCGCTTCCTTCCCCCTCTTTGCATGGCCCTGTCTATTGCATCTAGGCCTAAGGTCCTGGAAAAAGGATGTCGTGGACCACCTAAGTCAGCTGGTGGGGAGGGAGGCATAGCTGGGGAAAGAGGGACTCTGTGGGGGTTGGGGATCAGCTCATTCTGCAGTGTTGGCGGAGACTCCAGGAATGTGAGGGTCACAGGCGGCCAAGTACATTTCCTCCTCCAAACCAGAGCGTCTCCAACTTCGAGGGGAAATTGGGTTGTCCTTGCCCTTCCCTTCACGATCTCCTTCTCCTCTCCCTCCATATTGACCCTCTCTATGTGCCAGACCTCATACCCTCCAGATACCTCTCTTCCCCACCCACTTTCCACTCTACCCACTCTCAAGCCCTCAGCTCCCATCTTCCCGAAGGAGGGTCCAGAGCCCTCAGACTTCCATTGCCCCACACCCTCCAGACCCTAGGTCCCATCATCCCTCCTTCAGTCCTCTGTGTTCTCCCCAATCCTGCCCGGCTGGAACCCAAAGCCAGAATTTCTAGCTAATTCACTCAGTTATGTAACAAACATTTGTTAAGTACCTACTGTGTACCATGCACTGGACTGGGAGCTGAGGATACAAGAACATGACAGTCCCTGCTGACAAATAACTTGTATTCTTCTGGGGAAAATACCAAACATTTGCAAATAAATAGATACAAAGTATATACTAAGTATTTTTGTGGTAGTTGGAGGAGAAAGGGCCAGAGACCACTTTTCTCTATTTGTTTCCACATTAGAAATAATCGCAGGCAAAGACCTGAATTTACAGGCTGCCTCTGAGAGATATAAATATTGAAATATATGTATGTATGTGTATATATGTATGTGTGTGTAAACACACACACACGCAGAGTCTGAGCAAATCATTTAACTTTATTGTTTCTCTGGTGGCTAGCTAATATTTCTCAGAGTGGTCCAGAGGACCCTGGGGGTTCCTGAGACTCCTTTAGGGAGTCTGGGAGGTCAGAAATATAGTAATAATAATTCTTTTTGTTGTTGTTCAGTCTTGTCTGACTCTTTGTGACCCCATGAACCATACTGTCCATGGAATTTTCTTGGCAAAGATACTAGAGTGGTTTTGCCATTTCCTTCTCCAGTTCATTTTTACAGATGAGGAAACTGAGGCAAACCACGTTAAATGACTTGCCCAGGATCATGCAGATAGTAAGAGCCTGAGGCCAGATTTGAACTCAGGTCTTCCTGACTCCAGGCCCAGTACTCTATTCACTGCGTCACCTAGGCCCCAAATAATGATGGTTTCATTTAATACTGATAACTATGACCCACATAAACCAACGTTCTTTGTAGGGGCAGGGGTCCTCATTCATTTATGAGAGTGTAAAAGAGGTCCTCAGATCAAGTTTGACAAATGCTGCTCTGCCCGACTGGCCCAGCCTGATTTTCCCGGAAGGTGCTGCCCTGCGCTGGTGGCTGGAGTTTCCCTGTCCAGGAACCACGGGCCCCTTGCCTAATCCCATATTCCATCTAGAAGCAATCTCTATGTCCTTTTTGTTTGGCTCTGGGCTTGGGGCTGGGGGAGAGGGACGAAAGGGGAATCAAGGAAGGGGCAGATGTGATAGGGCTGGCAGAGAGATAACAGAGGGTACCTGGGAGCAGGTGGGGGCTGGCATGGGCTGGGGCGGGAAGTGGGAGGCAGAAAGGCATAGCCGGAGTGTTGAGGTGGGGCTAACAAGCCATTCTGGGATACCTGCTGCCTTCATTGGAAAAAAGTCAGTTGAAAGAACTGGGAGTAGTTAAATTGGAGAAAAGCTGAGGAGGGGTCAGGGAGAAGAGGAGGAGAGCTAGCTGCCTTCTGCTCTTTGAAAAGTTGACACCGGGCAGAGGGCTTAGCCGTAGAGCAGCAGGGAGAAGCGGGCAGAGGGGCCGATGGAAGCTTTGTTCCAGGAAGTGGCTGCTCCCAGCTAACTGGCCTTCCCACTTGCCATCAGGGTGGTGAAAGAAGAGATCTCTGATGACAACGCGAGGCTCCCCTGTTTCAATGGCCGGGTGGTGTCCTGGGTAAGGAGCAGAGGCCCTGGCCTTCCCTTCCCCATGACTGTCATATCTGTTTCTCCTCTTCTGTCTTCCATCTGGGGTAAGATGGACCTCTCCCTTCTCACATGATCTCCCCTGGTGTTGGGAGGAAGGTGGACATCACCGGGTGTGGGGGATTGCAGCTGGTCTTCAGGGCCAGGATCTTCCCTACATTCCCTCTTCAAATTGGATTGCTTGTTCTGCTTGGAGGGTTCTGTAGGTGTGGTTGGGAGAAGGGGAGAGGGTCAAAGACCTGCTATGGGGACAAGGTATCTCCTTACCCGGGCCTGGGCCTCCGAGCCTCTGGTGACCTTTGCTACAGCTCCCTAGGTTTAATCTGCCCTGTCTCATTCATCTCCCCAACCTATTTCATCAAATTTAAAACTGAGTAGGGCCTTATAGACCATCTAGTCTAACCCCCTCATTTTACAAAGGAGGCCCAGAGTGCCACCCAAGGCAGTGAAAAGCAAAGCCATGAGTCAAACCCAGCTCTTCCTCAAATACACTGCCATGCAATCTTAGTCCTCAAACCTCCAGCCTGCCAACTGGCCCCCTCTTATTCTCTGTCCACAGCCCCTCCCCTCTAAAAAAATAACCTGACTTCTCTCTCATTTCCATGGTCTTGCTCTGTGCTTAGCTGGTGTCAGCAGAGGGCTCACATCCTGAGCCTGGCTCCTTCTGCCCTGACAATCCTTCTGAGCTGCCGCCCCCCATGGAACGCACGGGTGGCATTGGGGACTCCCGGCCTCCCTCCTTCCAGTGAGTACAGAGAAGGTGGGGAGGAGGGAGGAAGGACACCCAGTGGGAAAAGATTTGATGGGAAATAGAGGCATCGAGCCTCCAGCTAGCGGGAGAGGCTTGAAAATGGGAGTGTGTCTCTGCTGCCATCCCCCAATGTGGGTCCCTCTCCCCTTGCAGCCCTCACACTGGTGGGGGGAGCCAGGAGAACCTGGACAATGACACTGAGACTGATTCCCTGGTGTCTGCGCAGCAGGAGCGGCCCCGACGGAGGGATGGGCCAGAACATGGTGCGTACCCCTCGAACCCGGACCCCCAGCCCCTCTGCCCAGCCCACAGGGTGGTCGACTCAGAGACTAGTCTGGTTGCCTCTGAGAGGTCAAGCGATTTGCATTAGGTCACACGGGCAGTCAGTGGCAGGCAGGATGCAGACTCAGGCCCTGGGGTTCCACGTTTCCCAGACGACACCAATAGGCCACCCCTTCCTGCTCCTGCTTGACCTGGAATCCGGGTCTCCCCCACTGATCTTGCTGTGGCACCCCCCACCTCTCCCCTTCCCTGCCCCCTTCCCCACAGTGGCCCGGATGAACGGCACAGCCAAAGGTGAGCGGAGGAGGGAGCCTGGGGGTTATGACAGCTCTTCTACCCTCATGAGCAGTGAGCTGGAAACCACGAGTTTCTTCGACTCTGATGAGGATGATTCTACCAGCAGGTGAGCCTGGAAGGGAGGGATTCAGGTGGGGATAGGAGCAGACAGGGACCCTGGAGCCCCAGGGGATAATGGCAGGGTTTGGAGCCCTGGTGGTGGGGGCACCATGGGGACAGACTTTGGGCCCCCCAGGTTCAGCAGCTCCTGGGAGTGAAGGGTCCCCAGGTGAGAGTAAGAGGGTTTGGAGTCCTCATGGTGGGGGCACCGTAGGGATGGACTGTGGGGCCCCCCAGTCCACGGGTGCCCCAGGTTCAGCAGCTCCTGGCAGTGAAGTGTCCCCAGGGGAGAGTAAGAGGGTTTGGAGCCCTCATGGTGGGGGCACTGTGGGGATGGACTGTGGGTCCCCCCATCCATGGGCCCTCCAGGTTCAGCAGCTCCTGGCAGTGAAGGGTCCCCAGGGGAGAGTAACATGGTTTGGAGCCCTCATGGTGGGGCACCATGGGGATGGGCTGTGGGCCCCCCATCCATGAGCCCTCCAGGTTCAGCAGCTCCAGGGGGCAGAGGGAGCTCTGGGAGCCCCAGGGGATAGGAGGGTTCAGAGCCTCGATGGCGGGGACAGCATGGGGACGGCCTGTACGCCCCCCAGGTTCAGCAGTTCCACAGAACAGAGCAGCGCATCCCGCCTCATGAGGAGACACAAGCGGCGTCGGCGGAAACAGAAGGTGGCCCGGATAGAGCGGGTACGTGCCTGCCCCTGGGCTGGGCTGAGGACAAGGACCTCCCTGGCCCTGGGGGGAGGGGAGTCGGGGGCCTAGCTGCTCCCCCCTCTCAGGGGCTTCTTCCGTTGCAGTCCTCGTCCTTCAGCAGCATCACCGACTCCACCATGTCCCTCAACATTATCACCGTCACGCTCAACATGGGTGAGTAGGACAGAGACTCACCCGCCTCCCTTTCCATTTCTATCCCCACAAGACTTCGGCTCTCTTCCCTCCCCTGACATGTCTCTCCTCTTATCCAAGATCTAAGTCCTGCCCCCCCACCCCTTACTCTCCCTTGGGAGCCAGCTGGTCCACCCCCAGCAGCCCCACCAGGGCCTCTGGGGAGGGGGCTGGCCCTCCTGCCTTTAGACAGCTCACAGTATTAATGCTGAGGCCTCCCCCTACCCCCACATCCCAGCCATGATCGCGGCCTGCTCTGGTCCCCCTCTATCTGGAGTCTTCTTGTCCTAGGGCCTTCTGCCACCTTCCTATGCTAATGACTCAAGGTCGCCTGGCTTCTTGGAAACATGTTCTAGGGGGCCTCCAAGGCAGCCAGTCCAGCCTGTATCTGAATGGGAAGTCCTCTATGATAACTGCCCAGTCTTCTGGTGTCTAGGCTAAATTTCCCAGTTTCTTCAAGCCATCCTTATGTGGCCAGGTCTCCAGCCCCTCATCTTGCTGGGCACCCTCCCTGGCGTACTCTGGTCAGTGTCTTTCTGGAAATGGACCGCCACCGATGGGGTCTGGCCAGGGTGGATGTGTGCAGTGTGTCATGGCTCAGTATTATGCCCCACTGTGGGATCCAAGGATCTGGATTCAGATGCTGACTCAGATGGCATGCCCTCCCTGTCTGCGCCTCAGTTTCCTCACCTGTCAAAGGAAGGGATTGGGGCAGCTAGGTGGCGCAGTGGATAGAGTACTGGCCCTGAAGTCAAGAGGACCTGAGTTCAAATCTGGTCTCAGACCAAACACTTGATACTTACTAGCTGTGTGACCCTGGGCAAGTCACTTAACCCCAGTTGCCTAGCAAAAAAAAAAAAAAAAAGGAAGGGATTGAACTAGATGGCTCAGAGGTCCCTGCCAGCCTTAATTCTAGGATCCCAAGATCCTATGAAAAACTTTCTGACGTTAGAGCTATCCCCCCAATCACTGCCTCACTGCTGTCAGGTGCTAAGCAGAGCTAATGATAGCTAACATCTTATAGTCCCTGAGGTTTACAAAGCACCTTCTCTATCTTCTCATTCAGATGTCACAACGACCCTGGGAACTAGGTGCTATTGATATCCCCATTTTATAGAAGAGGAAACTGAGGCAGACAGAGGTTAAGTAATTTGCCCAAGCTCCTATGGCTAGTAAGCGGTTGAGGCCAGATTTGAACTGGCCTCAGGTCTTCCTAAATCCAGGCCTGTGGTGCTACCTAGCCAGCTGCTTTCTTCCAGAGACTGAGTGACCTCTGTCATCAGTGTTGTTGAGATCTCTGCATTTTGTGGGAGGCCAGAATTGTGACTCTGTCTGTCCTGTCTCTCCCTCCACCCTACCCCTGACAGAGAAGTACAACTTCCTGGGCATCTCCATTGTGGGCCAGAGCAACGAACGGGGTGATGGGGGCATCTACATTGGCTCTATCATGAAGGGTGGAGCTGTGGCTGCTGATGGACGGATTGAGCCAGGGGACATGCTCCTACAGGTGCCCGCACAATCCCTGACCACTCAGGGAGTTCTGCATCCCTATTCCTTGAAGCCTGGTCACAAATTCTCCTTTCTGAATAGGAGCCCCCCCTATCCAGTTATTTGAGATGGATGCGGGGTGGGAGTTGGGGGGAAGGAAGAGACCTGGCTGTGGGCTCAGCTCTCTTCCTTTCACATGCTTTCATCCCCCAGGTAAATGACATCAATTTTGAGAACATGAGTAACGATGATGCTGTCCGAGTACTTCGAGAAATTGTGCACAAACCAGGGTATGACGTGGGAAGGAAGAGAGACAGGGGATAACTGGGACTGAGGGAGAGAAGACATCCACTCAATTGGCAGGTCAATGACACAGGTCATTGTAGAATTACAGACCTGGAAACTGAAAGGCACCTCAGAGTCCAGCTAGCCTAACCCATTCATTTTATAGAGGAGGAAAGTAAGGCAGACAGAGGTCAAGTGACTTGCCTAAGGTCACACAGCTAGTAAGTGCCAGAGAAAAGATTCAAATCCATGTTCCGTGACTTCAAACCTAGCACTCCCACTGCACCAAAGAGGACACTCTGTGGGTGTCAGGGAAGGGTCTGTAACCTGTCCCCAGCTTGTCCCTGTGAAAAGGGAGAGTATGCATGTGAGAGAGAGAGAGAGAGAGAGAGAGAGAGAGAGAGAGAGAGAGAGAGTGAGAGTGAGAGTGAGAGTGAGAGTGAGAGTGAGAGTGAGAGTGAGAGAGAGAGAGAGAGGAAGAGTAAGAGGATCTTACACTTAACCCTGACCCTTTGCCTCTTGGTTGCAGGCCTATCACCCTGACAGTGGCCAAGTGCTGGGACCCCAGCCCCCGAGGCTGCTTCACCCTGCCCAGGAGTAAGTGGATGGGGGAGTCGTCCTTAAAGCTGGTGCCTGGCACATGTGAGCCCCTGTCTGTCCTACCTTCTGCATCTGCCACCCCTGGGGATGTCATTCCCACACTCCCAGGGAACAGTTTGTTCTCAGGCCAAGCCAAGAAGAAGGCTTCACAGGCAGAGAAGGAGAGGCAGGAGCAGAAGCAACCCTTGAGATCCCTAAAACCGCTGGTGGGAAGGCACTGGAGGAGGGAGTCCAGTTGCTCCCACTTTACAGATGAGGAGACTGAGGCCCAGAGAAGGGAAATGACTGTGCCAGAGTCATCCTGTCAGTCCCCTTAATTCTCTCCCATCATCTTTCCCTTGGCCATTGTCCCAGGCTTTGGGCTGGGGGGCAGCTGGGGAGAAGAGGCAGGCGTTGGTGAGTACCTGTCTCTCACCCCACCAGGTGAGCCGATCCGCCCCATTGACCCTGCAGCCTGGGTGTCCCACACAGCAGCAATGACGGGGACCTTCCCAGCCTATGGCATGAGCCCCTCCCTCAGCACCATCACATCTACCAGTTCCTCCATCGCCAGCTCCATCCCTGACACTGAGCGTGAGTATCTGCCTGCCCTTCCGTTCCTTTCCTCCTCAGAACAGGGAATGTACAGAAGCAGCCTCCCCAAGTGAGGAGAGGAGGGATGGCAGGGTAGCAGAGGAAGATGAGGAATACTGAGCCTCCTGGGGTTCAGAGGACAGAAGGGGTCAGGGGGCAACCAGCCTGGGCTCTCTCCAGCTGTCTCAGAGTCCTCAACATCTGGCATCCCTAACCTCATTGTTTGCCCTTCTTAAGGGCAGGGTCAGGGGCAGCTAGGTGGCACAGTGGATAGAGCACCGGCCCTGGATTCAAGAGGACCTGGCCTCAGACACGTAACACTTACAAACTGTGTGACCCTGGGCAAGTCACTTAACCCCATTGCCTGGCCAAAAAAAAAAAAAAGAATTAAGGGCAGGGTCAGAGGTGTATAGATTTAGAGCTGGAAGGGACCTCACAGGCCATCTAGTCCCACACCCATTTTTACAGATGAAGAAACTGAGGCCCAGAGAACTGAAGAGACTTACCCAAGGTCACGCAAGGCAGCAGTGGCAGAACCGAGATTGTTTCCATGGTTTACATATCCCTGGAACCTGGCACAGTGCCTGGCATATAGTAGATACTGAATAATTACTTGTTGAATTTGCCGAAATATGGGAGGTAGAGGGTCTGCAGCTATCACTCCCTTCCATTCCATTCCACTTAGAGCAAAGACTTCCAGAGCCAGAACAGGACCTTAGGAGCTACCTTAGCATTCCAACCACTTCATTTCATAGATGACAGAAAAATGAGGGAAAGGGAGATCCCCCAAGTTCCCACAGATGGAAAGTATTTAGGGCAGGATTTGAACCCAGGTCCTCAACTCCAGAGCCATGGTTCTTTCTGCCTCCTACTGCTTTGTCTTTGCGCCCCCAGGCCTCGATGACTTTCACCTGTCCATCCACAGCGACATGGCCACTATAGTTAAAGCTATGGCTTCCCCTGAGTCTGGGCTGGAGGTCCGAGACCGTATGTGGCTCAAGATCACCATCCCCAACGCCTTCATTGGTAAGTGAGTGTTCCAGCGGCACGTTGTCAGCACCCAGGATGCTGATGACTCCCACTGAGGGGGAGCCAGCTTCAGGCTTCACTATCCCCCTGAGATCCTGGGGCGAGGAGAGCTGGGGCTGGGGGCAGGGACTCCCTCCCTGCCAGCCTCTCAAGAAGTTGGTTTGCCTCCAGGTTCAGATGTAGTGGACTGGTTGTACCACAACGTGGAGGGCTTCACGGACCGGCGCGAGGCTCGGAAATATGCCAGCAACCTGCTGAAAGCCGGCTTCATCCGTCACACAGTCAACAAAATCACTTTCTCAGAGCAGTGCTATTATATCTTCGGCGACCTCTGTGGCAGTATGTGCTTCCCCACCCTCCCTCCCACGGTGCCTTATCCCACTGCCCCCACCCCCATCTTCCCTGTCATTGGGAAAAGTTATGAGCTGATAAACTGAGGGGGTGTGTGTGTGTGTATGTGTGTGTGTGTGTGTGTGTGTGTGTGTGTGTGTGTGTGTGTGTGTGTCCTACTCAGCATAATGGGAGGTTAGACTGGTTGGATTCTGAGGCCACTCTAAATCTCTGATCCTATGACCCTCCCTGTGCCTCAGTTTCCTCATCTGTAAAACAAATGGGTCTGACTAGGGGTCTTCTGAGGTACCTGCCAATTCTGGAGTTCAGAACCTATGAATTTATGCTCTCCTAGATCCTCCTTTGGAAGCAGAGCCATACGTATATTAAGCATGCAGAATTAAAATATGCATGGATGAGTCTGGGAAACATTTATTCAGAGACAAATATGAAATCTAGGGGCCAGAGGTCATGGACATTTGTCTCAAGTCAGAGAACTGCTTGACACAAAGAACTCTGAGCCAGTTGCATTAAGCAGAAACTGCTCACACCCTGGTCAAGCAAAGAAAGGAGGTGGCCTAGTCTAAGGTTTACAAGAGCTAGGTGACAGTTGTAGTTGTGCCGAGTAAAATGGGCACTACCGTGTCTCGGGGACAGAACTCCAAGGCCAGTGTTGGAAAATTAACTTGAACTTGGAATGGAACTAGCTTTCAGGCACTTTTCAGTCATGTCTGACTCTGTGACCCTGTTTTGGGGAGTTTCCTTGGCAAAGACACTGGAGTGGTTTACCATTTCCTTCTCCAGCTCATTTTACAGATGAGGAAACTGAGGCAAATAGGGTTAAATGACTTGCCCAGGGTCACACAGTGTCTGAACTTAGGAAGATGATGCCAGAACTGGCACTCTATCCACTGTGCCACCAACTGACCCCAGTGGAGCTAGCTACCCAAGAAAAATGTTCTTGGGCCATACGAGTTTTACTGTATTATTTATTTATTGAATTTCACCTAAGCCATTGAGACTGTAAAGTAACTCTAGGATCATAGATTCAGAGGCATCTAGTCCAATCCCCTCTTTTTTTTGTTTGTTTGTCTTTTTGGTTTTTTTGCTAGGCAGTGGGGTTAAGTGATTTGCCCAAGGTCGCACAGCTGTCAAGTGTCAAGTGTCTGAGGTTAGATTTGAACTCAGGTCCTCCTGACTCCGGGGCCCATGCTGTATCCACTGCACCACCTGGCTGCCCCTCAATCGTCTCATTTTACAGATCAGGAAACTAAGTGCCAGAGAAGGGAAGTTGAGAGCTGGTAGAGACCTCTGAAGCCATAGACCTCTTTATTTTACAAAGGAGGAAACTGAGGCCCAGAGAGGTCATAGACCAGGAGCTGGGATATAACTTAGATGCCAGTTAGTATAACCTCATTTTCTAGATAAGAAAACTGAGGCCCAGAAAGGTGAAGTCATTTGGTCAGTAAGCATTTATTAATCACCTGCTATGTGCCAGGCCCTGTGCTAAGTATTGAGGATACAAACAAAGGCAAAAGACATCCCCTGCCCTTGGGGAGCTCACAGTCTAACAAGGGAGACAACATGGAAACAAGAAGATGTATACAGGGTAAATTAGGGATAATCAACACAGGAGAAGGCACTAAGAGAAAGGCTTCTTGTAGAAAGTGGGGTTTTAGCTGAGACTAGGAGGAAGCCAGGGAAGCCAGGAGGTAGAGGTGAGAAGGAAGATGCTAGAGAGGTGAAATTGACAGAAGATGTTCTGAAGGTGAAATTGACAAGAGATGTGGCAGAGGTGAAATTGACTAAAGATGGTCTAAAGGTGAAATTGATAAGAGATGCTGCAGAGGTAAAATCAACAGGGCTGGACCATAGACTGGATATGGGCCTGAGCAGGGCAGAGTGTGAGATAATGAGGACCTGGGGTTGCAAGCTTGGGTGATTGGGAGAATGTTGGTGTCTGGGACAGTTACAGAGAAATCTAGAAGAGGGGAGAGTTTGGAGGGAAAGATACTGAGTTCAGTTTTAAACTGGTTAACTTAAAGATGTTGAGGAATGTCCAATAGGCAGTTGAAGTTGTGAGAATAGACACCATGAGAGAGGTTAAGACTGGTTAAGTGTTTCTGAGAATCATCAGCATAGAGATGATCATTGAATTCCGAGGAGCAGATGAGATAACAAATAAGATAGTATAGTGGGAGAAATGGTTGTGACTTAGATGAAGATCCAGCAAAAGAGACAGAAGGAGCAGTCAGAGAGGTAAGAGGAAAACCGGGAGAGAGTGATGTCCCAAAAACCTGGAGAGAAGAGAGTACCAAGGAGAAGAAGGTGATCAACAGTGTCATAGGCTGCAGACAGCAGGAAGGATGAGAACTGAGAAAAGACTACTGGATTTGGCAATTAAGAGACCATAGGTAACTGTAGAGAGGGCAGTTTTGGTTGAATGATGAGGTTGTAAGCCAGACTATATGGAGTTAAAAGAGTGAGATCAGAGGAAGTGGAGGCACCTTCTGTAGACAGCCTTCTCAGGAAGTTTAGCCAGAAAAGGCAAGAGAGATATGAGGCAATAGAGGGGATAGAATAGAGGAGATAGATGTATCAGGTGAGGGTTTTGGGGGGTTGAGGGAGACATGGTCATGTTTCAGTCAGTCAACAAACATTTATTAAGCACCTACTCTATTCGAGGCACTGTGGTAAGTGCTTAGGAATATAAAGGTTTGTAGGCCATAGGGAAGCAGCCAGTAAACAAGGGGAGACCCAAGTATAAATGATAGAGGAGCTAATCTGCTGAAGAAGATGGAATGAAAGGGGATCACTTGTGCATGTAGAGGGGATGGCCTTGGCAAGGAGAAGGACCACCTTGTCATGTGAGACAGGGATGGAGGAGGAGATAGTAACAGAAGGCATCTGGGGGATATGAGATGAGGAGGGGAGAAGGACTTCACGTCCAAGGGCCTCAGTTTTTTTCAGTAAAATAGGAGGCAAAGTCCTCGGCTGACAAAGTGAGGAGAAGGGAAGCCATGAGAAATCTGAGGAGGGATGAGAAGGTCTGGAAGAGCCAGTGAGATGAGTGGGGGAGTGAGTTGAATTAGAGGGTGTAAAAGGATTGCCTTGTCATAGCAAGAGCCCACTTGAGGTTATGTAACATAAATTTGCAATGTACTCAATCAGGACAGTTTCATGATTTTCTCTAGTAATATGTGAACAAGAGTGAAGGCAGCAGATGTCTGGAGTGATCCGAGGCTGAAGCTTAGTGGGGCAACATTGGCGAGAGGGTAAGGGGGCAAGAGACTTAGAAGAGGCCAGTGTAGCTTTGAACTGCTTCACCAAGAGGTCAATTCAGGGGGCAGCTAGGTGGTGCAGTGGATAGAGCTCTGGCCTTGGAGTCAGGAGGACCTGAGTTCAAATCCAGCCTCAGACGCGTGACACTTTCTAGCTGTGTGACCCTGGGCAAGTCACTTAACCCCTATTGCCTCACCAAAAAGAAAAAAAAAGGTCAATTCAGGGAATGGAGGAGAGGGTAGCCAGTGCAGTGGTGATGATGGAAATTTTCCTAAACAGCAGAGCTGACCACGTTACCCCCTACTCAGTAAACTCCAGGAGCAAATACAAAATACTCTTGTGGCCTTCGAAGCTTTTCATAGCCCAGCCCCCTCCTACCTTCCCAGTTTTCTTACACCTTACTCCCTGACCCTCCGCACCGCTGCCATGGACTCTGTGATCCAGTGAGACTAACCTCTTAGCTCTTTTTGGGACAAGACACTCCATTCCCCAACTCCAGGCATTTTCCTGGCTGCCCCCCACGTTTGGAATGCTCTTCCTCCTCATTTCCACCCTCTGCCCAATACAAGTATGCATTTTTTTTTTTAAGTTTACAGACCCCACCTTAAGGGGCCCTGTCCTAAATGGTCATCCCTGCATTTTGGGAACATTCTGAGAACTTTGAAGTGTGAAACTCATAGATTTATGAATTAACTTGGAGTTGGAAAGGACCTTCAAGGTCATGTGCCCCTTCGTTTTACAGATGGGGAAACTGAGGCCCAGAGAGGGGAAAGGGGCCCTGCCAACAGTCACACTGATAGTGGAGTAAGTTTGTAACATTTAGAGCTGGGAAGGACCTTTGAAATCATATTGTCCAACCCCTTGTATATGTACTTGTAGATGGGAAACAGAAGCCTTAAGAGGTTAAGTGACTTGTCCAAGGTCACATAGGCAGGAAGTAATAGAACCAGGGATTGGAACTCAAATCCCATTACCCAAATGCAGTGGGGAAGGGTAATCCAGTTTGGTGGGGCAGGCAGACTTAGGGATAAGTCTTCCTGGATCATTCAATCAATCAGTCAATCAAATTTATTACAGCATCATAGAGCTTGAAGAGGCCTCAAGGCCTCTAGTCTAATCCTCTCATTTTACAGTTGAAGAAACTAAGGTAGGAAGCATCAGAGGCAGAGTTTGAATCCAAATCCTCTGACTCCAAACCCAGTGCCCTAACCATTGCACCATGCTCCGTCCGTCAAGCAACGATGACTTTTGAGCTGGCCTGTGCACTGCTTCAGGATGGTTTCCATAGGAGAGGAAGAGGGCATCCTCAGTATAAGGAAAAGCACAAGCAAAGCCCAGAGGGAGGAAATTGTGGAGCAATCACTAGTTAAGTACTATGTGCCAGGCACTGTGCTAAATCCTAGAGGTACAAAGAGGCAAAAAGCAAGCCCTGCCCTCAGGGAGCTTACATTCTAACCAGGGAAACAATGGGCAGAATATCTAGCTACATAGAAGATATAGACAGAGTATGTCAAGGTAACCCAGAAGGGGCAGGTATTAGCAGTTCCCCAGCTTGTGTGGGGACTTACTGAGGCCCCGGGTATTGTGGCGAGACCACTGGGTTTGGAGTCTGAGGTTGAATCCCAGCTTTGTCACTTATTACCTACAGGCAAATCACTTTCTGTCTTTGGGGCTCAGTTTCCTTATCTGTAAAATAAAGGAGTTGCTTCAGATGACCTCTGAGGACCCTTTGATTTCTATATCTTTCGTATTTTTTTTGGACATGGCCAATACAAAAGTTCATTTTGCTCAACTATACAGGTTTGTTAACAGGGGTGTAGTTTTTCTTGTTTTCTCAATGGAGTGTGAGGAGGTAGGGAAAGAGAGCAGTGAGAGAAGGAAGGGCAGACTTTTGATAAGTAAAAGATTTTCAATTTCAAAAATTTTTTAATTGAAATTTTTAATAACATTTTTTAAAATAAAAATCAGGAAAAAAGACAGCTCTAGCTCTGTGATGGGGTTAGCTAGGTGGCACGATGGATAGGGCTCTGGGCCTGGAGTCAGGAAGACCTGAGTTCAAATGTGGCCTCAGATACTTACTAGTGGTGGGACCCTGGGCATGTCACTTAACCCTGTTTGCCTTAATTTTCTCATCTATAAAATGAGCTGGAGAAGTAAATGGCAAACCCCTCTAGTATCTTTGCCAAGAAAACCCAAAAAAGTATCATAAAAATGACTGAAAAGATCTTTGATCCAAAGCCCCTTAACCTCCTTAGGCGTCAGTTGCCTCAGATGTTAAATGAGATGGCTATGTTAGACGGCCTCTCCAGTCCTCTGCAGCTCTGCAGCTGGGTCCTGTGCATTTTCCAGCTTGTCTGGCATGCACACAATCAGACAGGACGTGTCAACTGCAGGCCCAGCTTGGAGGGCCGTGCCATTGAGGGGCCGCCTGGGAGCTGAGATGTGAGGGGGAGGGGGAACAGAGGCAGGGGTGGGGGCCGGCTCCGGAAGCCCACTCTCTTGGTTTTCCTTTGCAGACATGGCTAACTTGTCCCTGCACGACCAGGACGGCTCCAGTGGGGCCTCGGACCAAGACACGCTGGCTCCTCTCCCACACCCCGGGGCTGCCCCGTGGCCCATGGCCTTCCCTTACCAGTACCCACCCCCCCCACATCCCTATAACCCCCACCCTGGCTTCCCTGAGCCAGGGTATAGCTACGGCGGTGGGGGCAGTGCAGGCAGCCAGCATAGTGAAGGTAAGCTGCTCCCGGGCCCTGGGGTGGGCAGTGGGGCTAGACAGGGGCTCCTTCCTGGGATCAGACCCTCACATCTCCCCCTCCCCATTTCCCTATCAGGCAGCCGGAGCAGTGGCTCCAACCGCAGCGGCAGCGACCGGCGGAAGGAGAAGGACCCAAAGGCCGGGGACTCCAAGTCAGGGGGCAGCGGGAGCGAGTCAGACCACACAAGCCGAAGCAGCCTGAGGCGGGAGCGAGCCCCCAGCGAGCGCTCGGGCCCAGCCGCCAGCGAGCACAGCGTCCGCAGCCACCACTCGCTGGCCCACAGCCTGCGCAGCCACCACACACACCAGTCCTACGGGCCCCCAGGGGTGCCCCCGCTGTACGGCCCGCCCGTGCTGATGATGCCCCCTCCGCCCGCTGCCATGGGGCCCCCGGGAGCCCCCCCGGGCCGAGACCTGGCCTCAGTGCCCCCAGAACTGACCGCCAGCAGACAGTCCTTCCGCATGGCCATGGGAAACCCCAGTGAGTTCTTTGTGGATGTGATGTGAGCGGTTCCTTCGCTTCTCTGGCCCCGCCCCGTCCCCCAGGCCCCAGGGCTGGTGCCGTCACCAGTCAGCTCTTTTTACTTGTCTGGTAACTAAACAAAGGGAAATAAACTGAAGTGAACTGAACTGGGGGGCTGACCGCTGGCGGGGGAGGGGGGAGGGGGCATCCTCAGGGCCACTGCTGCCGCCGCTGCCTTGGGCCGCTAACCTGCCTCCAGCCACTGCCTCCTGTCCCTGGTTGTTTCCTGGCTGTTCCTTGCCCCCTAACCGCTTCCCAGGGCTCCTGCAGCCCCTTCAGGGAAGCCTGGCTCCCGCCTGCCCCTACACCTCCACCAGAATCGCATGCTCAGGACTCCTTGTGGGAAGGACCTTCTCTTCCCTCCCCATTCATGCCAGCCTGAGTGCCGTCCGGCCCAGCGCCATGAATACCACATCACTGGGTGCCACACACGGCCCCTGGCAGCCTCACAGAGTATACGCAGAGACAGACAGACAGACACGCGCACACACACACACACACACACACACACACACACACACACACACACAGGCAGCCTCACAGAGACACACAGACACACTGGCAGCCTCACAGAATACACAGAGACACACACACATACACACACACTGGCAGCCTAACAGAATACACAGAGACACACACACACACACTCTGGCAGCCTCACAGAGAGACACACACACACACTCACACAGATAACACACACATATACACTCTGGCAGCCTCACAGAGTACACACAGAGACTGCCCCACAGACACAGACACAGGAAGGCACAGACTGACCCAGCCTGAAACCTGACAGGCACGGCCAACCCCTCCCTCGCTCCTGGCCCCCCTCCCCAAGGAGCAGCGCCCCTCCCCCGCCCCCTGCCGCCTGCAGCCTCAACCCTTGACCTCCTGGATCTGCAGCTGTCCTCACTAACCCTCCCCAGGCCCATGGAGCTTCCTACCCACCCCACCCCAGGCAGGCCCGACAGGCAGTGATGCCCTGGATGGGGCCTGGCCCTCCCATCTAATGTCCTGCTGCTACCGATGCCCGTGTGCTGGTTGCCGCCACCCCCATAACCCCACTAACCAGCAAGTCCTCTCTCCCCTGGGCCTTAAATGTGTCTTTTCTTTCTTTGTTTCCTCCTCAACCAAGCCAAGAATTTCGGGCTTTTTGACTTTCTCTGAGCACCCAGCGTGGGGAGGCCCCGATCCTGAGGAGACCAGGAGTCCCGCCCCTCCCGCTGCAGCCACAGTTGTAGCCCCTCAGGGCTCCCCGAAGATGTCCTGTCCTACTGCCCCATGACCCCCAGGGTCCCTCCTCCCCTCCCACTCATCCCAAGACGGGTTGCACACCTCAGCCTCTCGAAGTCTGGCTGGAGCTCAAGGGTACCCTGTCTTGGACACTCTTCTCCAGGGCCTAGACAATTTTCACACGTGACTCTGACCCAGGGCTGGTCCCCTCGGCTACCCTCTTTCCTCATGCTATCCTAGGCTCCGGGGCTGGCCCTGACCCCCTACCCCCTAACTCAGCCTCCAGTGAAACCCCCGACATCTTCACTCCCCACAATTGCCTTTCAGGCCCCAATAAGGGCCTAATTCTTCCCTTCTTACTCCCCAGAGGCCCTCCCTTCTGGGCTGGAATCCCAGCAGCCTTCTTGGCTTCCCCTCCACCCTCCCTGCTACAGAGCAGGGCCTGAGAGCCCACCTGCCAGCTAGATTCAGGCTGTACCCTGGGGTCTCTGGCCCTTTCCCACCTTCAGGTTCTTTCGCTATGTATGGATCTTGGTCATTTCTCCAATAAATGCTCCCAGGTACCACAGCTGATGCCCTCCCAATGAGTAGTATAGGGTGCTATGGCTGGAGTCTCTGGAACCAGCACAGATAGATGAGGAAGGCAGGTGGCCTAGAGACATTCATTCAATGAGTATTCTAGACATTTTTCAGCCTCGTGCATAAGAATGCCAAAATGAATGCAAGAGCCAATGAATGAGTGAGTGAGTGAATGAACAAATAGCATTTATTAAGTGCTTTTGGTGCTTAGGATACAAACACAAAATGAAGCCATTCTCTGGCCTCAAGGTGGTTATATATTCGAGAAGGAGAAGAAGACACATAGCTGTGACCTCAAGAACCTTGTAGTAGGCAAGACGCCACATACAGATGTCATTCGGTATAACCAAACCACAGAATCCTGAATGAAATTCTGAGCAAGAGATGCTGTCCAATGGAGCCCATCGGAGAAGGCTACCCAGAAATGGCGGCCTAAGCTGGACTTTCAAGGATGCCTTCGGATGGGTGGAGGTTTGGGGGAGGGGTGGTCCAGGTGGAAAACACAGCCCAGAAGGAAGAAGATTCAGGGTGGATTCAGAAACGGGCCTTAATTTGGTCAGAATGTGCCTCTTTTTTTTGTTTTCGTCTTCTGCCAGCGGCCCCCACAATTCCCCCAGTCTCCCATGCTCCAAACCGTGGGGTTATCCCCAATGTTAAATCATGGGGCAGGGGATAGGTCACTGTCCTTGGAATGCCACAGTGGACGTTTACTAGCTATGTGACCCTGGGCCTGTCTGCCTCACTTCCCTCATCTGTAAAATGAGGGGGCTTAACTCCAGGGCCTCAGCTTTGCATCCATGATCCTGGGACCATCTGCCTTCCTTTCACCTCCAATCAAAGCTTTGTCGTATCCACGCTCACACTCTCTCCCCTGTTACCCCTTCTCCTTATTTCCACTGCCCCTACCCTGGCCAAGCCCATATTACTTGACTCCCCTCTCCTCCAGTTCAGTCTTCCTGACAGTGACAGTCCCAACTTTCTCAAACATAAGTCTAGGCCTCTCACTTCTCTGCTCACACCTCTCCCATGGCTCCCTATTGCCCACTGAGTCAAGCTCATCTGGCATTCAAGATACCTCCTAAGACCTGGCATCACCCTAGCTTCCCCCTCCCCTCCCCCCAGTTTCCTGCCCTCTATGTACCCAATGCCAAACAGGACTCTGGACTGCCCTCGAATGTACCTTGCCCTTTCCTGCCTCCATTCTTTTGCCAGGATGGGGCTCGGCTCACCTCCCACCCCTTCTTCGACTGCTGCTCCTTTCAGCCCAACTCAAACACTCCTTCCCAGAAGCCTTCCAAGATGCTCCATGTTGGGGCTCAGACTTCCCTCCCACTGTTAGTCAGCACTTACATACTAGAGGGATGTGTAGTGGGGGGCATGGGTGGGAATAGCATTTATAGAGCACCTGCCATGTGCCAGGCACTGTGCTAATTTAGAAATGTCTCATTTTATCCTCACGACGGTCATGGGGGGCTATTATTATCTTGGCTTTACGGTTGAGGAAACTGAGGCAAACAGGTTAAATGCCTGGCTAGGAAGTGTCTGAGTTCAAATGGCAGATTTGAACTCGGGTCATCCGGCCTTCAGCCTCACTGTTGCCACCAACCAGCTACCTGAGTTGTCCTATCCCTCCGTGAGGGCAGGGGCTGAGGTTTATTCAACCTTGACGTATCCCCACAATGCCTAGCACGGTGCTCTGCATTAAGTGCTTAATAAATAAATGTTGAACTGTACGGAGGGAGGTGAGCTTTCAAAGGCAGATTTGGGGTCCTGTGGTGGAAGGCTAAGGAGAAATGAATGCTCTCAGCCTTTGCTGGGGGTGGGGGTGGGGGGGGCTGGGACTGAAGCCTGGGCCTCCTCTCTCTGCATCTGCCCGGGACTGGAATGGTCCCTCTGGCTGCATGCTGGTTCTAATAGCCCGCTTCTGCCCATGCCCGCCCTCCCATCCCCACCTCCCTCCCTGGGTAGCAGACGCCTTTTCTTGGGGGTCCTAGGGGGCAGTCTCAGTCTAAGGGATGTGGCTTCCCCAGGCCCAGGAGAAGCCCGAGAGAACAGACTTATAGTTCTGAGTGCAAGCCACGGGACTTCGGTGTTGGAGAATGGCTGTCCTGCGTCTTTGAAGGAAAGAATCCTGCATTAGAGCTCCTGGCTCCAAAACAATAGGGTTGAGATTTCAGGCCTCCAGGAAGTCCTGCTGGGGTCAAAAAAGATCAGTCAGGCGTACAAACAAACACGTCTTCAGTACTTCTTATGTGCCAGGTGCTGGGGAGTAAAAACAATGTAACAGTCCCTGCCTTCAAAAAGCTTTCATTCTATCAGGGGAGACAGTGTGTGTGGTGGCACTTGGGCACCCTCCCTCTCTAGGCCTCAGTTTCCCTAGCTGAAAAGTGATGGTCCTTAATTAGGGTCCCTGCCAACCCTATGTGTCTAGTGGGCTTTTGCTGGCGTCTTAACCCAGAACTAGAATTTCTAGGGGTTTGGAGGCCCCTGGTGGCCAGTCAGCCAGTCATTCAACGAGCATTAACCAAGCATTGTTCAGGCCCTCCAGGGAGACAAAGACAAAACCCCCAGAATGGTCCTTGACCTCAAGGAGGGCCCTGTGGCAAAGCAGTAGGCAAGCAGAAAAATGGATACAAAATTATACACACAAAGCAAATGCAAAGTCATTAGGGATGCCCAGGAAAGCGGAGTCTGGAAGGGAGGAGCTAGGGATGCCAGGGAGAAGAGGGGAGGAAGAAGTGCATTTCAGGGAAGGGGCACAGCCCGTGCAAAGGCTCGGAGGTGGGAAGTGGAATGTCATGGTGGAGGCAGTTTTGGCCAGACGACAAGCGCATAAAGGGGAATACTGTATATGACGTGGAGAAGGGCTCTACGAGCCAGCCAGAGTTCACTGTGTTGTCCTACGGACAAGAGGGAGCCCCAGCAGCTCAGTGAGCAGGGGAGGGCTAACCTCCACTCTAGGAATTTGGGGTCTAGGAAGTGTATCCTCTTTGTCTGTGCCGGGGTCGTGTCTGGAGGAACGCCTGCTGGCCTGAGGGGTGCATCCCTGGACAGAGGGAGCCAGGGGACCTTCGGGTTCCTTCCCCGGGGCTGCGTCCCTCTCTCAGACGAGACCGTGGGGCTTGGATAGCCTCGAACTTTCCTCCCAGCTCCTAACCCGTGAGCTTTCTTTTCTTTTCTTTTCTTTTTTTGATCTTCGAGAAGGGGATTTGAAGTAAATGGACTTGGGTTCGAATTCTGCCTTGGATGTTCCCTGCGTGACCTTGGGCAATCAATCAACAAGCATTTTATTAAGCATCCACTAGGTGCCAGGTTCTTCATCTTTCCGGGCCTCAGTTTCCTCATCTGTGAAGCGACAGGGCAGGACTCGTGCGGCCTCAAAAGTCCCTTCCAGCCCTAAGCCCTGGATCCCATGACCTCTAAAGCTCCTTCCGGCTCCGAACCCAGGCTCCTAGCGGAGCTGGATAGGAAGGGACATAGGAAGACTACATTTCCCAGCAAGCTCCGTGAGAAAATGGAGCGAAGCATGCTGGGAGACCCTTTTCCCAAAGGAGGTGAGGTTGAAGAGGGAAGGGCCCCCGGAGCCTTCTGGGAGCTGTAGTGCGGCGCCGCCTGCGCATGCCCGGCGCCGGCGCCGAGAGGCCCGCTGGGAGTCGTAGTCCGGGGGGAGCTGACGCGCGCGCGCATTGGGCCTAGCCGGGCGGGGCAGGCAGGCCGGGGCGGAGCCGGCACTGCGGTGAAAGCTGAGGCCGCGGGCGGGGGGCGGGCGGACATCTTGGGAGCGGCGGCGTCGCGGCGGCGGCGGCGGCGGCGGCGGCGGCGGCGGAGCCGGACCCTCGCACGGATCGACTGACCAAGCGACCGGTCGACGGACGGACGGGCCGCGGCGGCGCCTGGTGAGAAGGGGCGCGGGGGGCCCGGGCCCGAGCGCGACGGGGATCAATGGATGCCTCGGGGCGCGGCTGGGGAGGGGGTGGGGAGGCAGGCCTGTACCCCCTCAGACCCGATCCGGACACCCCGCCCCCGCCAGGACGCCCCTCACGGACGCCCCCGGGACACCCACACCCCCCCGAACAGGGATCCCAGACCTCTCTCCTCCGAAGACCCCCCCCTCCCCCGAGGGTCCTCGGGACCCCTCCCCGGACCTGGACTGACCAGTCTGGGCCGAGGACACCGAGGCCCCCCCCAGATGAGGGCGCCCTTGTCCCCGAGCTGCGCTGGTCCCCCGACTCCTCTATTCCGGACTGTGAGCGCTTGGACGACCCCGCCCTCCCCCCAGGGACCAGACAGAACCCTTCGCGAGAGGGTCGGGGCAATACTCGGAAGGCCCGCCCCCCATTGACTAGGGCTGCCCCCTGCCCTGCTGCACACATACCCCGCATGGTTGGGAGCCCGATACTCTCTCCTCCGCCGGCAGACCCTTCCGCTTCTCCCCATAAGCAGCTGCGCTTCTCCGAGGACAGACCCCTTTCCCTGCTGTACCCCAGGGGCAACATGAGATAGCACTGGATTTGGAGGTCCCGGGTGTGAATGCTGCCTCTGCTGCTTAGTAGCTTTGTGAGTTAGATAGGGCAAGGCACTTTCCCTCTGTGGGATTAAGGTTCCCTCTTAGTTAAGAGAAGGAAATAACCTTCAGGGTCCTTTCCAGCTCCCAACCTAGAACCTTGTGTTCCCTGCCATTGCAGAAGAGCCCCCCAAGGGCCGCGCTCCACAGTCCCTTACCCTGGGGCAGACCCTTTGGAGAAAGTGCTCCCGTTACTCAGATTCACTGGCTGTGTGTGGAAGGACCCTGCCCTCCCATCCCCCCTTCTTTCAGGAGGGAGCCATTGTCTCCCATTTCCTGGCCCACACCAGGCGTCGCCTCCCCCATGGGAATTCACCCCTCTAGCTCTGGAGTGCAGGGCCCCTTCCTGTCCCCGAAGGGTCAGGCCCTTTGCCTGTCCCTTCACAAGAAGGGGCTCGCCTCTGCCCCAACCCCACAGCTATGGG